ATTTTCCAGATGGAAAATTATATCAATCAAACACAATTAATTGACAATTCCCATGAAAACAATTCTAGGCAAGTCAATTCTATGTAATTCATTTTCTTTCCACCAAAATTTTAATCTTGCAATCAAACGGACCCTAAATAACATAAGTTGAATAAAAAGGAAGAAAATTGAGCAAGAATTTAAGAAAAAAAAAAATGGAACTGTGCAAAAACATCATTGTGAACCAGTGTCTTTCAATAATATTATTAGAACACATTAAAGTACAATTGAAATGAGATAATAATCTCCACAGTGCTTAAAAGAATTGAACTCCAGAAATTTGCTATCCAGCATTACACTAGTTAAAGAGGTTAGCATCTTAATTACCTTTGCTAACATCCATGCAACGACCAACTGCTTCTCGGGGGTCTCCATCATCGTGAGACAAAAAAGACTCAACATTATCTTCAACATCATCCACAAAGCGATCCACCATATCAGATTGTACAAGATCTTTATCATCCCACTGCAAAAACAAATACGAATGAAAACTTTCTCCTATTTAATAGGAATTCTATCTATCAAGACAGAAAGATAAAGTTTACTCTCACCAATTGATTTGATGATGTAAGAGTACCCGCGTTGTCAGCTCCAAACATCATAAGAGGCTTTGAAGAACTGCCAGTAAGTGGCAAAGCAGGCATTGACATCACATCTCCTGGAGTATGAGTCGAGGGTGTTGAAGGTTGGGAACCTGGAGATGGCCCAGCCGTGTTTGCAGTTCCAGAGCTATTGGCAGGTCCTGAAGATGACACGGCTTGTTTCCTTTTTCTTCCAGTCTGGTTTTTTGAAGCCTTGAAATGCAAGGAAGATTATGTTAGTAATATACTTGGAACTCTAAACTTCAGAATTAAATCAGAACATGCATGCTTCAAGATATCCATGCTTTAGTGGATTAACAGCTTTTTCACATAAAAATGATTGTATTATTAGGTAAGATTTCACTTACCATTTTGAAAGTTAGGGATGTTAAGAAGGTAGAAATTAAATGTGAGAAACTAAGTCCGTCTCGCCTAACATCATAAGATAAGCTACCAATTTTGTTCAGAAGTCATGCTATACCCGAAAAAAAAAAAAGGAAAGTTCAGTAATAGTGGCCCCACCCTGGGGCTGCGAAAGAAAAATAAAATGAACTCCTAACATGTGTACGTACAAACACTCAAATAACCAACCGTTGGTTTAGGTGGTCCTTTTCTTCCAAGAGCGCACGGTGAGCTTCCAGGACACACACTTGTATCAAAAAATGGAACTAGGGAAATAGCTTCATGCCAAAAACATAATCAAATGGTAGAACAGATATTTGATAAATAAACGACAATTAAGGTTACAAGTAGCTTGAGTTATTGTCTATTATACCACGAAAGGTTAGTAAGGGCTCCGTGACCGTAGTTTTAAAACTGGGCTGGTCCGTCTTGGAAATCTGTCAACCGGTCAAAACCTACACTAAACAAATTCCTAATGGGCCACTTTCCTTCTAGGTAGTCCATGAAGATAAAGAAAAAAATGTACTTCATAATCAAATATAAAACAATACCGATGAAGTCTCATGAAAAAAGAATTGATGAAGTCCCATGACAAATGATGAATGAATTTCAAGATTGAAGAATAATATAAAATAAGAAAACTTATAATGCAGGTGTCAAACACGCCGACACAATTTTTCAAAAAAATATTGACAAGACACATCGTCGACAAGTTGATTATATTCTTTAAAATTCTTCATTTATAGAATAAATTTAGTTTTAGACTTGTTATTAATTTTTCTTGTTGAAATTTTTAAAATATGAGTATCTATTTATTATTTAACAATAATTTTGAGTAATATTTTTAATAAAGCAAAAAATGGCCATGATAAAGTTTTCGAGAAGTGTCGATATTCGACACGTGTTGAACACAGGTACATTACCATAATTGAAGTGTATGTGCAACACAGATGAAACACTAAGAAAGTACGAAAGAAATAGAACTCTTAAAAAATTGATTTGACTTAAGATCTAGAGTGCACAAATCTCTTTAGTCTCATTCTAATTAAGAAGCACAAACACACGACACAGACGTGCCAAGGCGTGATTTTTCAAAAATCAAAAAATAAATAGACAGAGACGTCGGGAAGATGATTTGAATTATTTAAAATTTTACATTTAATATTAAATCTATATTTTTGTACTTTTGATATATGAGACAACATGTGGTATGTTGGATGTATGCCCAAGGAGTGTCCTAAAGTATCCCTCAAGCATTAGAAATCTCAAAAATATACAAAAAAAAGTGGCACGTAACTTGCCAGGTACATTGTCCCAGAGTGTCATGTCATTGACACGATATTACACGTGTTGGACATAAAAACATTATTCCATTAGGTGCATCAGTGCTTCATAGTATTAAAGAGAATTAAACTGAATTGGTTTTGATGGGTATTTTATGTGTAGAATCAACTATCAAACATGGATAAGATTAGCACAGGCTACTCAGGCCCGATCCCATTATTTTAACTAGATACGTTTTTATGCATTTGAATAATAGAAAAAATGATTTGTTTCCAAAAAAAAAAAAATGTTCAAGAATTATGGAATTAGATAAGTGCCTGTTTGATAGAATTTATTTGAGAATAATGAGTTATAGAATAGAATTTTTTGGAGAATGTGTACTTAAAAAGTAAGGAAACTTTATTGGTTTGTGTGTAGAATATTTTATTGTGTGAATGTGTGGTGGAGAAATGATACTGTAGCAAACAATTTAATTTTTTAAAGGATGACAAACTAAATGTGTACTTTTTATGTCATTCAAAATAGATAATATAAAGAAACATAAGAAACTTAGTTGGATTTGGAGAAAAAGGAAATTTTGATTTTTTAAACTTCATTTGTGTTGACTTTCAATTAGGGGTAGGATTTGGGATGAGAGGGCGGACATATGGAAAGAAACAATATAAAGGATGCTTAACTAAAGATTGAACTATTTCTTGGAAAAGTCTTGGTAATTTGGATTTATTAAGGCATTTAATATTTTCACAACTTAGATAACTTCTTCGTATATGAAATAGGCTTCATCAGCAAATAGACCTATATTTATGTTACAATGGACATTATTCACAATTGAAGGTTCGCGGTTACTAAGATCACAAGAATATAAAGTAGAAGGTTCTAGGTTTTGATTGTGCCTAAAATAAAGATGTTCAAGTGTTTTTCATCTTTTATATTAACTATCAAGTAGCGATTGGTGCAAATGTGCAATGCACCACTCATAAGTTAACTAATCGGTATTACAAGAGAATTTCAATTCTCTAACAGGAACCTTACAAGCGAATTTCAATTCTCTAATAAGAAACCCAAGAACAGGACATGACAATCTAGTTATCGATTTTAAAGAACCAAAATTTGCTCTTTTCTCGCGGAATTGATCCCAGAAATGTTATATTTATTCTACCAGTTCCAGGCACATTATTCTGGAGTGTCAATGTCTGATAGACTGATACAACAACACATCAGGTGTAAACATACTGCCCTAGTAGGAGTGTCGATGTTTCATATGGTTTTGAAGAGAATTGAACCAAATTGGTCTTGATTGGGTATTTAACAAATAGAACCAAACATTAGACGTAGATAAGAACCAGACAATGCTAATCAGGTTGGATCCAATTCTAGATACATTTTTGTGCATTGTGAATTGAAATAATAGAAAAAATGATTTGTTTTCGAACATTCAAGAAATTATGGAAGTAGACATATGTGTACTTTTTTATCACAGTCAGAATACATAATTTACAAAACATACGAAACTTGGCCAAATTTGGAGAAAAGGGGGAAATTTTTTATTTTTCAAACATCATTTGCGAGTTGACTTTCAATTAGGGATAAGATTTGGGATGAGGGTGGACAAATGGAGAGAGAACAGAGAAAAAGACTTAACAAAAGATTGAACCATTTATGGAAAATCAAACTTTGGTTGTGACAACTTGGATTGTGAAATCAGTCAATATTTTTATGGCTTGGATAACTTATTCATTGATGCACTAGACTTTTAATAAGTAAATAAACCTACATTAATAAAACAATAGATGGCATTTTTCAGAATTGAAGGTCTACGGCAACTAAGGAAGGAAGAATATTAAGTAGAAGGTTCTAGGTTTTAGTTTTGGTTGTGGTTGTGGTTGTAGCTAAAATGAAGATGTTTCATAGTTTTTCAACTTTTATATAAACCATCGAGTGTTGTTGGTGCAACGCACCACTCATAAGTTAATTATTCTTTATTACAAGAGAATTCAGTTCTCTAATCGCAAACTAAGAAACAGACATGACAATCAAGTCATAGATTCTAAAGAATCAAAAGCAGCTCTTTTTTTTCATGGAACCGATCCGAACAGGCCGATTCTCTTTGGTTTCGGTCTAGTTCTACCCCTTCCCGGCACATTGTCATCAAGTGTCAATAGGAATCTGTAGAGAATCGTACCAATTTGGTCTTGATTGGGTATGTTACATGTGTTCAAAACATCAAATGGGGATAAGAATCGGAACAGAATCGGAACAACACTGCCTAGTCAGGTTGGATCCAAATCTTTTAACTGGATACATTTTGTGGAGTGTGAATTAATAATAATGAAAAAAATGATTTGCTTCTGAAAACAAAAAATTAATCCATTCAAGAAATTATGGAAGTAGATAAATATGTTTACATTTTTATCTCATTCAAAGCAAATAAATTTTAAAACAAATAGAAACTCGGTCGAACTTGGAGAAAAGGGAAAATTTGATATTTCAAACTTCATTTACTAGTTGACTTTCAATTAAAGGTAGGATTTGATATGAGAGGGTCGACAGATGGAGAGAATACACAAAAGAAGGCTTAACTAAAGATTGAACCATTTCTTGGAAAATTGGACTTTGGGTGGGGCAACTTAGATTTGTAAAGGCCTTCAATATTTTCACAATTTTGACAACTTATTCATAGATGCAATAGACTTCATCAGTAAATAAACCTAAATTTATATGACAATGGATGGCGTCATTTAGAATTGAAGGTCTGTGGCGCAGCAACTAAGATCTAGAGAAAATAGTACAAGGTTCTGGACTTCTGGGTTTGTTTGTGGCTAAAGTGAAGACATGTCGATGTTTTTCAGCTTTTGAATTAGGCGCAATGCACCAGTCATGGAACCGGACATGACAATCTAGTCATTGATTTTAAAGAACCAAAACTTGCTCTTTTCATTTTTCATGGAACTGGTCTGAACGGGCAAGTTCTCTTTGGTTCCGATCTATTTCTAATGGTTCTTGCTCAACTGCAATCTAAAATAATTAAAAAAATAAGAATTTATTATTTTCCAATTAAGCTACTTTGCTTTTGAAGTTCAAGTTCAACTTATAACACGAGAGATCTATACTTTAACATATATTTTTTATTTAATATCTCTTGCCAACAATGACCCACCAACACGGCGCTTTGGCTGGGGTCGATGACCGGGACAGGTCTCATAAAGAGGTCGGCAACAATTCAAATAATTTAATATATATTGTTTATATCATATGCTTTTTCATGAGTGCTCTGACCTTCAGTTCAACCTAAATTCTCCTCTAAAATGTGGCTTCCAATTTTTGGTGGGGGAATGCTCAGCATGTGTTAGCAAGTTCCTTGGACTCGTTACTAACTGATTAAACAGAAAAAATAAGTAATCTACACATTTAATATGCCAATATGATGCTCAATTTCATTTATAGCACTACAGCAAATATGGCACTCGTCCAAAATTGATAAACGTATATTAACAGTCAATTTGCAAGTGATCAATATTTCACTGATA